AAACTCTGCCCGCGCACAGAACATAACGGAGTCTGTGGCTGTCTTCATATGTCAGGACCTACGGCCGTACAGTGTCATGGAAAACGGGGGTTTTAAGAAGATCGTACACACACTCGAACCACGATACGCCATACCAACACGCAAACACATGACGGAAGTCGCCGTCCCGAAGCTTTTAAAATTAGGGGTGGGCGATATGGGCAAAAATTATATCTCGATATAATCAGTCGATATCCTTTAAAATGTGATTGGAATTGTCTGAGTTAGGGCTTGTGTCGACCAAACGCGTTTTTAGCACTAAGAACGCTCAAAAACTCATTTTCCAAGCGCTCCGCGGTGTTAAAAGTTGAACAGATTTCAACTTTTCACCGCTGAAGGCGCTTAGCGCTCTGAACGCTGAAGCTCATGGGATTTGTATCGGCACTAAATCAGAAGTACCGGTAGCTTCAGGGACTGGAGGTGCTTGCATTTTCTATCTACCATCACAACGCGCTGCTAAACTGTTGCAAGGAGGATGCTAGCGAGAGGTCATGTGATCACGTAGGCCCACCAGTCGTGTGACTTAATCCTGCCATGCTGTAGAGAGCGTTGCTGCACCTGTGTATTAAATGGATGTGAGGAGTTTCCGCATGCGTTTCAGTATTTTTGGCGAAGTAATTTAAATACTTGATAATGGAAATTTGCACATCGTCAAAACAACGACAATATTATCGCAAACGATATATATCGCCCACCTCTAACAGGTACTCTAATGAATTATTTGTGTAATTCTACTTCGAATTGTGACCTAAATAATCAAAACTGAATCGAATTGTGAGGTTCTTAACAGTACCCAGCCCTACCTTCGACTAATTCAGTGCTTGTACAAGAGATTTGTATGTTTTACTCTTTCTGGTTGAGCACTCATTAAAAAAGGCTTAAAGCCATTTGATTCACTCATGGAGCATTACTCTGGTTATGCACTTCATGGAAGCAGTAGGATTTTAATTCTTCAGAGGCATCGCAATGGGAAGGTCAAACATAATTCTCAGGTTACCTAATACTTTGTTCTGCAGAACAGCAAGTAGAGGATTCAGGCCCATTCAGCAACAACAGTCCCAGCATGATGTCTGCCAATGTTTTGTTGATATGGACGGCGATTCAAAGTTCTGCCTTGAAAGAAATACTTACAAGCTACCGACTTGAATGTGAAAAGAGTCGCTATCACATATTGAATCAATAGCAGTAGTCTGAGCTCAGCTCTTGTTCCGATTTTTCCAGATTGTAGTAATAAAATTAAATGTTTTGGTATGTATTGATTTATGTTTGGTGGGTATTTTTGATGCTTCCAACTGGTTTGAGGTTCAGTATAGGGCCGAGATTTTAGGTCATGGATCTCTTTTGTGACCTGTCCTATTTTTTTTTAGGTCAAGACCAACCTCTCCATAATGCTGAAAATCAGATGTTATGGCGTGATGAGGGTTATAATTGGCTTTCATATCATTACATTCAAATTCAAAATTCATTCATTCAGTAATTTTGAATTTGACTTAAAAGCTAAAACTATTAATTAAAAATAAAAAACAGTGTTATTGTAGGGTGAAAAGCAGGTTCGGTTGGGTATTTTAGATCAGAGCAAAGATACACTACATGAGGAAAATGTCTGAACCATAGTGGTATATGGTTTGTTTTTCACTTTTCTAGCTGTGTGTACATAGCCACAGCGAGCAGAGGATGTCAGGCTATTAAAAACATGAGGGCAAGTGAAGGATAGCTATAAGGAAGAGAAAAAGGAAATGTGGGTTCATGTCAGAGAGCCAAATAGCTTTCAACACCCAGACTGACCTTCAGCTTACACAGAAGCACACACACACACACTGATACTAATGTTCACAGGATGTGACCATAAACCATAATGGACATCCCTTATTACAGGGAGTGAGCCTTGGCTGTATGCCATTTTAAATGTCACAGACTCCTCCACAGGCTAATGACTGATCAACCTGAGTTTGCATCTAGCGTAGCCTAGCATATTATCTACAAAGCCAACTATAAAACTGGCTGGAGAGAGCGGCGGCATCACATTATTTGATAATTGCAGAATGCATCCAATAATGTTCATCCACATGCAAATGTGCTAGCTTTTCCGACCTTTCAAGCTTCCAAATGTAATATGCAATATCACTACACTGTCAGTGTAAGTCAGTAAAACAAAGTGTTTGCCAGTGCTGATCCTACACGAAACAACACGCTAGTCTGCAGCAGCATCCAGCATTCAGCTCATTTGTTTGGCTTGCCTGCAGACAAATCAAAACAATTCCCATTCATATAAAAACAAAAACAGCTGCAATTTCCAGGCACAAAATGCAGATGAGCCAAAGTAAAAAGTGGCAGGTGAAGAAAAACAAACCTCCAGCAAAACAATAGGACAACGATATATTTCACAACTGGACAACAAACAATCAGATTAATGTTCAATTCAGTGTTTAATACAGTACATGCTTGGTTTTGATGTCATTTTATTGTGTTTGGTGTGAGGGTAAACTGACTTGGATGGGGATTATTTCAGTTTTGCTTATTTGTGGCACCTAGTGAGGTTGAATTGAAGTTGAATGTTGAATGAATTAACAACAATTGTCCATGTTATGTAATAAATCACTGAGTCAGCTGAAAGGAGTGGAAAGGCAGGGAACTGTACCCTTTTCTTGCTCATTCTGATGAGGCATGAGATGGTTTGCAATGTCAGTGACAAGCAGATCTTGTCAATGTAAGCTGCTGTGGGAGCAAAAAATACTTGTGCTAAGCCCCCTTGAGTAAGATGAGCGGCAATGCCTTGACCCGTGAGATGCAGTGGGAATTGAGGTGGAAGAGGGGGCGAGAGAGCAAGAGAGTGAGATAGTGAAAAGCTAGCTGGTGACAGAAGACTCAGACACGCTGGACTGTGTAGGTCCAGTGGGTCAGAGTAACCAATTCAAATACCAAGCTAATGTGTACAGCAGGGAGCAAGTTGTGATCAATGCACACACTGCATGAAAAAAGCATGCAATGCACAGAATTAAGACATTATGCAATGGGACCTGTAAATAAGTCCAACAACTCAACATATATGACGATGTATGATGTGTATTATAAACAAATAGTCCATTTCATTAAAAGATAGATAAATAACTACTGCATAATGAATAAACTTTTGCATTTGTTATATTCTGAAAAATATTTTTATTTAGTTTGATTTAGGTAATGTAATGTAAAGATATTTCAGCTTTATCTATTTATTTATTTAAGCTTCATGAATTAAATATTGTCCCACACCCAGAGTAGTATGTACAGAATTATCATCTGGTGTCTGTGTCCATGTCTGGGAAATAATTGTTATTACATAGGGATTTTGTGTTGCTAATCTTAGGATATTAACTGTTAGTGAACTAAACTAAGAACAGCAGTCATCAGGCAGCATTACTAAACTGTCATCAGAAAATTAGTGGTGGTGGTGGTGGTGGTGGTTGTAATGGCGAGTGTGTGTAGGTTTGGCTGAGAATAAGTATATCAAATTACACATGTGAGAGCCAATGCTGGAACAAGGCTGGGAGGCAGTTGGACAATAAGGAAGACAGCGAATCGTATTGTGCCAATACATCACTCGGCAAGCAATAAAGGTAACCTACTTGAAAATACTGCTGGTATGATTTCTTTATGGACGGTATAAACGCAAGGTCATCCAAACTAAACCACAAAGTGAAGGCTCATGTGTTTCTATTTTGTGCGAGACAGCATTTGATCATTTTCCAGATTACAAATCTGCTCCAGTGTTTGCGTGACATCATAAATTTCTCCCTTCTTCTGGAGAAAGTTTTGAGTTGTCACAACTGAAATGGGAACCAAGCGACATCAGGTATAGTAAAAAAGAAAAGAATACTAAAGTTTATTAGTGGCTTACATTTTACAACTGGAAAGTTAAACAAAGCCACCAATAGAAAGTGAGCTGCTGATTCATAAAACCACAAGCTATTGTATGTTTAAATAACGTAGGTACAGCTTTTCCTACAGCAATCTGTGCCTCCGACAGCGAGCCTGTAGTAGTGTGTCAGCATGTTTCATCAAGTTCAGCCTTTTATTCGAGACCATTAATTCCAGTTAGAATTAAATGTATGAACAATTTAAGACTACCTGAAGGTGAAAATGAAAATTAAAGTGCATTGGGAACAGGAGGAGAATGATTTTTCACTCCCAAACAGAGCCTGGAGACTTCAACAGTAGTTACAGACTTTTGTATAAGTAACCAAATTCAACACATTTTTCGAGACCTGCTGACATCCTATTCAACAAGCACTTAGTTTCATTTGTCACCGTTACGGTCTATGTGCAACCTCTAAAACCTTTTTAACTGTTCCTCCTATTTACAAAAATGGAGACAAGGTCATCATATCCATTTTAGTTTTTTTTATATATATTAAAAAAGGGTACAGCTCCTGCTACATTTTACCTTGAGCCTCTCAAAAAGCCTTCTCCATCGATCTGGAAAGATCTGAAAGAGGCACAGCTGCATACACAATCCTCCCAAGTCTTTAGAGGGTTTTGAAATATTAACAAAAGAGCTTGCAGGTACATCATTTTGCAGCAGCAGCTATGGCAGCAGAGGGAAAATGTGTTTGAGTCCTATTATAAATCACACAATACAGCAACAACATTGCACATCCAGGCCTAGCTTGTCCCCCAGGCAACCTGACAGCAAAATCCCGTCTTTACAGATGGCTCTCAGAGAGGATCTGTGCATGTGTACGTGGGAGAACACTTTGTCTGTGTGTGTGTGTGTGTGTGTGTGTGTAATTTTGTTTTATTAATGAACATCTAGTAATCAGATCCAGCGCCTAGCATTATAACTCTTTCACATGTCCATTTAAGCATGTATGTGAGCATACAAGTGCAGAGGAGAAAGCTGATAAAAAATAAAGTAAACCTTAGTCGGCTCAGGCTAATTTCATCCACTTCACTTCCCCTTACATAAAAGAAGTAGGACTTACAGATCTTGTGCTTTCCTTTCATGGGGAATTTCACCAGCATCTCCTGGGGGTTGGTGCAGATGAAGACGAATGGGGAAGAGGACTCCTCACAGGTACCAGGGAACTGCAGTGGTGGTGGTGGTGGGGGAAAGAAAAGAACAGTTTAGCACCATCTTACACAGAACTATCATATTGTGCACAGAATATGTTAAAGCTCATGATGCCTGGTATCACGGTTATGAATCATTCAGTGAGCGTCTCTGTTTATACACCTACATAATGCGAGGTGTCCTCCATACCTGATGTAATACTACATGCCTGACAGCAAATTATACGAGTCTCTCTGGATCTTATGCACTAAAATTGCACAACTAATGATGCAGTTGCTAATGAGAGAATCACTTGCACTAGCTGTCAAAATAAGACGAAATTCGTTACAACCAGCACCAAAATCCAAGAGATGTAAAGCCTTTTTTTTAGATGCAATCTCGAGGGTAAACAGTCTGTCAAACAGACAATATTGAATCACATAAATAAAATAGTTAAGGCCACGTGTACACTATTTATGTTTTCATCTAGTCATTACACATATAATCATTAACTTCTAACATAACTCATAAAAAGTATACTTCTAAATCTACATCACATTTAACCACATCCATGACGTGTTTATGCATACCCTATAACATGCTATACCACATTCCCATGAAGGAGAGGGTGTTTTACAGCTCATAATTGACAGCAGCCCACAGCGTACCGAGGCCACGAGACAAGAGAAGACCTCTCTCTCCCTGTGTTATTGATTGGTCTCTCAGGTGAGAGTAGGGAATTGACTGACACAGTGACAAAGGAGTCATCTTTCCCATCACTGGCAGCCAACGGCTCTCAGCTCATCCAATTTCCTCCGGTGCTATCAGATAGTGCCCATGATTGCATCTAGCCAGCCAGGAAGCGGCTCTTTTCATGACAGCATGCTTCCCCCCCCACTCTCTTATTCACAGTCACTCTATCTCCCTCAAAGGAGCACTGAAGGTTGTGACAAATTTGGAGCTTTTAAGGGAAATCAACAGAGTCGGCAACCCATCTGTATGGTCCCTGACAAACTGGGGAGAGATGATAGAGATGTTTATTTCAGATTACAATCCATGTCGACTTGAGTGTAATACACCGGTGAGTGATAAAATATGTAAACACTCAAAGTCGTTAGACATTGGTGGGGACCCTTAAAGACCCCCTTGATTCGTCCTTCCAAATAACACAGTGATTCCAATTAAATTAGGTCTCCCCGTCAACTACGCAGTCTCCCAGATAGAAATCTTTCCCCGACAACCCTTGAACAGCACTATCTTTGAAGTGGGGTTAAACAAGATGAAGGTTGTGAGTTATTTAATGGGATGAGGCTGGCAATATTCTATATTTTTTGTATCAAATGCCATGAAAAGATTACAGGTGCCACATCGTTGTCTTGTAAACAAACAAAGTTTCTGTTTACATTCAGCATTAAACCATTGTGTGACGTGCGAAAACATGTGAATTGTATCCGCCATGTGCACGTGCGTCTTCCTGCACGTGCACAAGAACAAACACACTGGGGACCCTCTCTGGAAAAATAAATAAATAAATAAATAAATAAATCACTCCATGCTGGCAAAAACTCCACAGGCGACCTTTAAAACCAACAATGAATGTATTTTACAGTCCAACTATTGACTGAGGAGATAAAGCCTCATATAGCCTTACAGCTGAAACAATTAGTCAATAATAGTTGACTAATCAATTAGTCGATAACAGCAGATTGACAGTCCATCAATTGTTTGTATTTTTAAAAAGCGTTCACAATTTCGATGATTTGGACTGTTGGTTGGACCAAACAAGCAATTTGAAGATGTGACCTTTGAACTTGTGATGGGTACTGTTTAATAATTTCTGACATTTGACTCAACAGTAAATCAATTCATCGTAAATATAAATCAACAGATTGCTCAATTATGAAAATAAGAATCAGTTGCACGCCATAGACCTCCAGTGTTTCTACAACACACTGTTGCACGTTATGATGAACACTGGCTCTATTTTGAGTCAGTCCTCAACAAAAACAGCACTATTTACTCCTATTTGAACAATGTGTGCTAAAAACTAGGAGAGCCCACTATTACAAGAAATGATTCAGCCTTTTATCAATAAAGAATCTATACACGGTATGTATGACGCATTTTATGTAAGAACCAGTTGGCTTCGGGCTGGATGCCTCAGACAGGATAGGGAAGTAGAAAAGTAGAATGGACAAAACAAATTGTTGGCTTTGGTCTTTTAAAGGGAAAAATATGGAATCACCTGAGACAATCACTGTATACCCCAATTCATACAGCTGTTTTCAGTTCATAACAACTGTGGAAGAACAATTAAGACCAAAATTCAAAAGAACGAATACCTTCTTCTATTAACTAGCCAGAGGGGACATTCATTTTCACCTACACAATGTAAAGATCGATCCTGTTAACTGTTAAGACGATGCAGTGCTTCTCAAATAGCTTACTATGGTGAGTAGCCTAATTGAGTGTTCATTTAAATGTCCATATCAGGCACTTAGAATGACACTTTAATCCAGAGTGTTTTAGCATTGTGCACAGTGATTACTTTTAAAGAACTATTAGTCAGTGTCATTCGTTAAAGGATATATATATATAAAATCTGATATTATTCTGTGGTTTACTGGTGATGTGATTGGAGGTTGTTAAATATTTGTCACACGTACATTATCCTATAGCCCCTTTCTGACATGAACCACTCTTAAATGAATGCTGTCAGATTATTGTAAAGGCTGCAGTTCAACATGAAGGGAGAGAGAGAGAGAGAGAGAGAGAGAGAGAGAGAGAGAGAGAGAGAGAGAGAGAGAGAGAGAGAGAGAGAGAAATGTGAGTCTTAGGTCCCTGTAATAAATGTAATATCTCACTAACATCATCTCTTATGCACAAAATCTTTTTAATAAACTAGGACACTTTTAAGTTGTTGAGGAGATTAATATCTTCTTGTATCAGATCAGTGAAGATGACCTAAGTAATAATAATACCAGCATGTCCTCTCCATATTTTCAATTTTTCATTCATGCCATATGTTGAATAGATGAATATCCAGCCAAACACTGTGAGCATGTTAATTAAACTAAACTTAACATCCTGTCATTTAGTGCTTGTGCATGACACCAATGTCTGAATGACAAAAAGCCATCACTGATGAAGCCTGATAAGTAACGTTATATATTCCATGTCTGAAAGGGGAAAAGGCACAAAAACAAATGTTCTTTTACTGAACTATACTCATTAATCAGTTATTTGTCCATTATACTCATATTTCTCTGATCTAAGAATAATCATCAAAGATGTTCTGGGAAAAGAATAAAGAAGACAGACAGAATTTGTGATTAAAAGTGTGAAGAAGGAGATGATTCAAGAGGAAGAAAGTAACATGAGGCACTCATTTGGGATCATTACAAAAAAATCTCACGTTGCACAAGATGGCTGTGTTGTCTGAGGAACCCAAGGAAACAAAATGGTGGTGGTCTTGCTAAATTCTGATGAAACGAGCGTGGCTGCAGCCTCAGTTAGAGTGTGTTCATGTGAAACCCCGCCAGTTGCCTGCTCTTTCATCCTCCATTAGCTAATTAGCATTTAAAGCTGTTGAATGTGGTGCTGCTTTGCCTCACTACCTCCCCCACCTAATTGTTTCCATTCCATGTTAATCAAAAGGGCACAAAACATCGTGGTTATGTGACAAGGAGGTTTGCTAAAGCCCTCCATATTCATCAGGAATGATCTAATGTAGTCAGAGTGGACCTGCTTACAAATGCAATTAAAATTTGAGCTTGTTGAGAAAAACAGGTATTGAATTAAGGAACTGTTAAGTGGAATTATGTGAAAACACTACGGGTGACAATGATGCCACACTGCTTTCAGTTAAGAGTGAAATGAGCCGTTATGCTGGTTTCTTAGTATGAAAGGTCTTGGTTACAGCCCTAGGGCATTCTGGGTTGTGGGACCAAAGTGTTTGACATGAGGGAGATCTGAGGGTATATGTTCTTGTGACAGGTGCATTAAAATGCCTGTGTGGATTGAGTATCACTAGTTGGTTGCCTCAGGCCAATTTACTTGGAGTTAGAAGTCAGACAATTGTGAGACAAGGACTCCGCAGCATCTACTTGCTCATAAACATCACTGACAATTGGCTTGTGTTCAACACAGAAAAGCATCTGCAAATGGCAGACTTCCAAGCTTGTTTTTAGAAAATAGATACAAAAACACCCCAACCTTGCCAGCGTGCCAACTCGTGATAAATCTAGTCGTCAGTCATGTATTTTAACCAGAGTGCATTTTTTTGCATCAGTTTTAACTGCCCATCAGTTTGTGTGTGCACAATTCAACCACCTAGTTCACCTTAGTTCACTTAAAGGAATAGTTCCACATTTGCGAAATGTGCTTATTTGGTTTCTTGCTAAGAGAATGATACCACTCATCTCTGCCAGCAGCCAGTTAGCTTGTTATATCTTGTGCAAAATGCAAAAAACAACATGTTGCAGTTTTACAGAAAGTTATGCGGTGGGCCATTTCTTCCTTGAGTCTCATTATCTTTTACTATACGAGTGAATAAGCGGATTTCCCCAAAATGTGGGGAAACCTATTCTTTTAAAATGTTATAGCTACAAGAAATGTAATTCAGTACTTAATTTTCTGCTTATAGACAGTAAGAATAGTTTGTGGTTAATCAGTTCTTCTGGCTAGAGAATAGAAAACCAGAATGTGCCTAAACAATTTAAACTGAAGCATCTTTTTGTATTTGCAGGCTAGACGTACTGCAACGCTGCGATAATACGTGCTGAAGCCGAATGAGTGGGAGTTAAGGAGGCAACATGCTGTAAATGTGGATTCAAACATTTTAACCACTATCCTGTTGAATAAGAAACCTACATACGAAATACTAAACAGGAAAAGAAGTGAGGTGAAAAATTCATACAGCTTCACAGCTTCTTCAGAGACTGCCAATTCAATAAACTGCCCACTATTTAATTTGCTGGGATCAAGCCAGAGGGGATTCAACAATAACCAACTGTAATAATATGAAATTCACAAG